GACTGATATTACCTCAAATATTACACCAATATTAGCCATATTACTGGTAATATTACCTCGATATTACACATTTTTCTAGTATTATGGCGTCACAGCTTGAAAATTGGGTCAATATTACCAATATTATTTGTAATATTCAATATTCCTCCGTACACGGCCAAGGAGAGTTGACGACCCCTCGGCTGTGCGTGAGAACAAGCAGGCGCAGCTCCAGCTGAGATTATGTAGGAGCTTCTACTGGTTCCTCGGTGAATCCGACGATAGCGTTTTGTTTCAGAGAGACTCCGTTCAAAGATACGTTCGAAACAGCCCTGCGCGGGAGTATATACAGCAGTCACCTGAACCTGGGGGTAATCTCCTTCCAGGCTACCGCCAACGGCCTCCCGCATGTATTGTCCTGGACTGGTTCCCACCGAGGACTCCCACAGCCCTATCGGTGCTCATGACGGAGATAGCGCGCCACACACACACACATTGGAGACCAACTCCAGCCGGGACAAGGGAACGGGGCTGCGCGGTGGCGCTACCGCCGCTACCGCGAGCATCGCATGACGTGGCGCGGCGTAGCGTGCAAGAGAGCGCGGCCCGGCGCGGCTCGGCCGAGGCTAATCAGACAAATAGACCCATTCGATTCCTCGGAATTAGACTAAAAGGAGAGTTGTTATGACGCTCCCCCTCCGTTCGTTTGATTATTATTCATCAGGCGAAGAGAAGCGGCACCTCTACCTTCAGCGCCGCGTGTATACACACCGAAAAGAAAAGAAGAAAAAGGAAAACAATCGAATTATTTCTTTTTGTCGCAGATTTATACTCCTTTATATTCCATGTCGAAACAATGCTTTCCCAGAATGTGAACAGAATCCTGACTAAATCTATGTAAATAGACTTGGAAACAAAAATCAAAATGATACTAAAAATGTCGCGAAAAACTTTCTCGCTAACGATGGCAGTCCTTGCTGCTGTTGCAGCAGCAATCATAAGACTCGCTTATGCTCGACTAACGAGAGGCCAGTAATGACTCTTATATGGCAAGGCGTGTATCCGACCAATTCCGAAGATATTCGAGTCCGATGGGAGGGGAGCTGGGAGCTGGGTGGCGGAGAGGAGCGGGGAGGGGAGAAGAGCAGGGGGATTATGTACTATGGAGTGAAAGGAAGGTGTGGTGTGTCGTAGCGTACCGCATTGAATAGAAAGCGTATTAGACCAAATGACAACTGTCCATCCTGTTCGTCCTATACTCCGTTGGTATCTGCACCTGACTCTCGGCCCCCCTCCCTCCCTTCTCTCTCCCAAATACATTTCGTATTTCCTATGACCTAAAACAAATTCCGGTCCACGAAAAAAAAAGTAAAAAAAGATCAACTCAGCATCCAGGCAAAAGGAAGGACTGGCGTGTCATTTACTGGATTCCCAAACACACACAGACACCAGACACTCGTCCACACACACAGAGGCTAGGCCGACCCAGCCTACGCACGCGAGCGATCAGTAGAGAGAAAGTAGATTACAGACATTTCGCTGCGCGGTCAGACCGCCGCAGCCGCTGCCTCGCCAAACTGACGAAAAGTAAATGGACAGGTTGTACCGTGACGACTTCACACCACGAGTGGCAGTGGGAGTCAGCAGAGGGACGGGATATGAGGTAGAGAACAAGCAAAGAGTTGACTTTAAAGATGCACAAGGTCAAAGAGGTAAGTAAGCTCCACGAGGCTGCAGCTCTAATAACTGCTAAGCACTAAGATTTAAGCTCTAAGAAGTGGTAAGGACTAAGATGTAAGCTCTAATAAGAGGTAAGAACTAAGAGGTAAGCTCTAATAAAAGGTAAGAACTAAGAGGTAAGCTCTAATAAA